AAAATGAGAATTTGGATCATTTGCACCAGAACAAAGCTCTGAAATTTTATCTGTTTCAGCCTTATATGTCAAGACAAGATTTGGAAGTCAACAAAGTAATCCACTCATTTTGGATCAGATCCAAAACGTTTTACATATTCAGAAAATCCTATGGACAAAAGACTAGTTCAAACCTATAATGTAATATCAGTAATAAAAAGCTGTGTTAAGAAAGAGTAAGCAATCTTAAGTAGACAATCTAAGTAAAAGGGTAATTATTGCCTCCTATCAAATTTCAGAAACCAGCACATGGAACCCTGTTCTGGAAAAAGATAAAATCCCGGGCAAGTTTGGACTTGCTTTTGCAGAAAAAAATAGCATCACTGAATGCACAGACTTGACTGGCAGTGCTGAGTCCCAGCTCTCAGCCTTTGACATGACAGCAAATTCTTTAACACTACTGATACTGTGAAGTGACAAGTTGCTGACTGATTAATGCCCTAGTTCCCTCTCCAGTTGCACCACAGAGGTAATATTTTCTGAAGAGGTGCAACAGCATTGGCCATCAGTACTCAAGATGTGGTTTTATAACATTGTTATAAAGGTGATCTAGCCCAAGCCCCTGCGGTATCCTCTAATAGATCAGGTTGCTCAGAGCCCCATCCAATCTGACTTTGAATGTGTTTGCAGTAGTGCACTCAGCTGTTTTGGTGTGCATTAGTCTTTTAAGTGTCAAAACCAATACAAGACTATTTTTGCATATAGAGCCTTTAAAAAGTTAAAATACATGTTAAAAAGTATTCCATTTTATACATAGGCACACTGTAGGACTGAGCTTTGCAACAGATTGCAGGAGATGTACAACAGAGACTGACCTCAAGTTGCCTACCATAACCTGTTCTCCAGCCACTCTGCCATGAAAACTTTATTTCTGATTCCCGAAGCTGAAACTGCATTTCGTGGCCATATTTCAATTGTATAAATAAATTAGGAGCCAGAATTATTTTTTTTTCCTTTTCATCTTTCTAAAATTTAATTGCTAGCAAGTCGTGACTTCAATCACTATTTTTACAGCACTATCACTTTGGTATGCTGCTTGGTTATACTAAAGCTTAGTCTTCAGTACACATTTCTCTTCCTCATTGTCAGTGTCACTTGAGCTATAATCATCCTAAAGTTTCCTAACAAAAGTATTTATGTGTCTACTTTTAATCATTAGAAGCAATTTTAGAGGTTGTCTGCTTTTTCTTTTTGTTCCTATCTCCACACAAATCTAGTTTAGCTTCTAAATCTTTGAGGACTCCATGGTTATTTTAACTTTATTTATATTAAATAATAAGAATGGACTGATACCAGAAATAGCAGATCTAGACACAGTGGCGGTATAAGAATCCTTCCTTTCATTTTTGTTTACACTATGTTTTAGTCTGTCAAAAAAGTAGATTTCTATTTTTGTGATTGCAGTATATAACCTTCTCAGAGCTTTTAAAATCTTTTTTCAAACATAAAAGAATGGTAAATTTTTCAGCTACAGGGCAGGTAGTGTGATATGTTGTTCTACGTTCTGAATATTCTCAAAAATATCAAGCAGTATCTGGGTACATTTCAAGGGATGCTACCAAAACTAAAGTCAAAGAAACTTCCCTGTCTGACCATCCAGGAGCCACTCTGGTAGCGACTCTCTCACCACCTGAGCTGGGACTGAGACCCCTTCTCGGCTGCACTCCCAACTCACACAGGTTTCCTTACAGGTTTGACCCCAGGTTTACCAACCCAGAATCTCAGACATCTTGATCCTTAAAATAATTTCTTGAGCTGGTGCGTCCGAGCAGGGACACCGAACAAAGGAAACCCTGGGCTTCTATACCCTCACAGTCTGGGTGAGTCACAGTCTGGAGTTCTGGACTCCTGCCATGCCTCCCAGTGTCCTGGGTCACAGGTCCCCAGGCCCTTTGTTATGCAAAGGGTGGCAGTTCATGGCCCCTTGGCCGGGGCTCCCACCCTCCAGAGCTCAACCTGCAGCTCACACTACAGCTGCACACCAAGCTACCTGCACTGAGTGTCTTCCTCAACATTAAGTAAAAATTCCTTGTTGAAGCCACGATCAACTTCGTTCCTTCATTTAAAAATCTGATTTTAATGCTGATGAGTGGTAAGATCACCCTATGTCACTATGGCACAGGATCCATCCGTTAGAAGTTAATATCCTACCATTCTTGTTTTTCTGCTTTGGAAGTCCTGACAGACCTCTTAACACTTCCATCTAAAACTCTTAGATCAAATGTGTAAAAACTGCCTCCACAAAGGAAAGAAGTTCCCTAGCATTATAACTGAAACATAACTCTGAGAGAGATAAAGGTAAATTTGTCACTTAATAGCTGAAAAAAGTAGAATATACCTATTTTGTTAAAATATTCCATATGTCATGTGAACATCCCCTGTGGATAATGGTAACAAAAAGACTTACTGTACAAAAAAGTGAAGAGAAAAGAGTTACATAACCATAAAATAGGCAAATCATTGTTATACCCTATTCCTTTTTTTTTCTTTTTTAGTAATTCTAAAAGTTTGAGATCAAACACTCTTCTCAGGTTTGTAAATGGAATAACTATGCAATTAACAGGAAGAACATTTTGACTGGATACCCAACCTTAGTCAGGTCCGCCAGAATGATCTTTGTAGTCTAGTCCTATTGCATTGTATAAATAGAAGTGAGAATTGAGTGAAACTAACAGTAGACTGAAGTCTAAATCAAAATCTAGTCTAAGTCTAAATTGGTTTGAGCTTTTAGTCAGGCTGATGATAATTAATAGGAATGCAAAGGTAGGACAGATATTGGAAATGAGGATATGGATTACCATACTTAAATGGCAGCAGAATGTGATGTCTGCTGAAGGCAAGAGAACTGGTTTCCCTGTGAACATGCAGAAAAAAATCAGTCTTCCACAAATCCCAGCCATGAGAGCAAGGTTATAATTTGTCTCTCCAAGTAGAATTTTCACTCACTCTTTGCACAACTGTGGAAAGAAGAATGTCAATCTTATTTACACAAACTAGGATAAATATTTATAAAAGATTTTGACCCTCAAACTTTGTGATATAAAGCATGCAAAATTAATCCCGTGTTCAGAAAAGTTGACACTTTCCTCTGGAACATCTAGCACGGATTTCTGTTGTTGCACAAGAGTGAATAACAACGACCATTGATCTGATTCATAACAAACATTTCTGTGGCTTCAGTGAAACATGTGAATGCAAAGTGAGGGTGAGGTTCAGGGACTTAAAATTGCATCATTAGAGCAGAAGAAGAGGTAAAGTGTCTATCTCGAATACAGGATATCAAGTCTGTTCAATGATCCGATTTTTCGCTTTGTTTTTAAAACAAAGTTTTAAATTCAAGTACACATTACCATGTCTGCTGTTGCCAACATAGCTGATGAGGAAATGTTGTGTGATTTCTGTCAACATCTGAATAGAGTACCAGTCATTTCAGATCTGGACTTGAAGCTTCCTTTTGAAATAAAGTGCAGCAGAGAGCATCCTGTGAGACTTCTGCCCCTCCTCTCCTTGCATGAAAGTATTCCTAAAACTTGGATATTCACAAGGAATGACTACCATCAGCCACATGGGGCTCCAGCCAGAGGTCTTTTACTAACAAAATTATGCTGAAGATTTCTTCCTGCTGTGCTAGAAAAGGTGTTGCCAGTACTGGATCTGGCCTTCAGAAAAAAACAGTTCTGATCTTGCATCTGCTACTTGTTGAGTGGTTGTATGGCTCTTCTTTATGTGTCTTTTTGAATGCGTATTTCAGGCTCTTCTGAATAGGAATTTTCTTAGTACTTTAGTACAGTATGATTCTTGTCTAAGATGATGCACTGCTAAAAATAATAAAAGGAGACAATTCTGCCTTATTGGACAAGGCTAGATGTTTATTTTTTTGTTTCTGTGCAATGTTTTTCCTTTGTTCTTTGCTCTGGGTTCTTATACTGTATCCTGAACTCATTGCAGTACAAAACTAACATGATATTTGCAGTGATCCAAGATAAATATTCATTGTTTCAATTACTTTGGTGCAGAAATAGTAAATAGAATAGTGAATAGGAACATCTGGAGCAGTTTTTGGACCAAATTTCCAGATTACTGCAGAAATTTGACCTGTATATTCTAAACTTGCCTGTGTCCTTTGTATTTTAAACAGGACTTAGTCAGGTCTCTGTGAAGGTGAGACAATCCATCTCAACAAGACTGACCCACTGGGAAATAGAAGATTACTTTAATCACTTTAAGTTATCAGAAGACATTATAATAAAAGATGTACTTTCCTGATTATACATCCTTGTCAGAAATACCAGGAGAGTGACTGAGTTTTGTGTGGCTTGCATATCTGCTTTAAGGCTGCTGTGACAGCAAAACTTGGCAGAATTAAATATGAATCTTTGCATGTGGTTTCTATAAATCCGACATTTTCCACTTTACAATCCAGAAAAGATGATTGAGCAGATGGTAATTCAAGCCACTGGATTTATGCAATTTTTTTCTAAAACTGGGAGTTTTCACTCTCAAGAGCAGCTTATATATGAGGGACTGAAAAGGCTGAATACTAATTTTTTTTGGCAGAGCACCATGCTCACATAACCTAGGTACACAAATACTAGTTATAAATAAGCTGACTGTAGGAGGTACAGAAAACAAATTCTTTCTGTGTCAATGAATTATCTCTCAGTCAACTTCAGCTATATATATATATCTATTTATGTACAATATTTTAATCCATTTATAAAACAAAGAACTAATGCCTGTCTGCATTTAAGTAATCTAAATAAAATATGTTAAAACCAAAAAATCTAAGAAGCAGGATGCATGAAGCATGAGCAAGGACATAGTAACAAATGCGTTTTTATTTTAAGAATTCTTCTCAGGAGCTGCTGTAATCAGTGACTCAACACATAACTTATTAATAATGCTTCAGAAGACACTCTTTCAGCAGGTTTTGAACTTTCCTACTGGGGGCCCATGTGAACTATTGCTCTGTTATTCTTCCAAGATTTCCCTGAAGGTTGAAGTCTCTCTGCTCTGCCTGGGAATTGTGCACAGACCAAGGATGTCCCACAGTGTTTTCAGTGACTGTGCCTTCACTGTCACTGGATTATCCTTTTTGTCATAGGATTTTCCTAGGGTATCTGTCATGCCTATCCAAGATTTCCAGTCAAAAATAGTGTATTAACCTCACCATAAGGCCATGGAAGGAAAACCCGTCTCTTTTACTGTCAGGCACAGCAGCATTGATGTTGAGTGTGTGTTTGTGCTTAGGAACTTCTGTAGCCAGCAGGAAGCAAGGGGGTCTTCCAGGAAGCAGTTTGATCAATTTAAGGCTAGAGTGACCTTCCAGCAGTGCCTTTCACTCGTGCTTTAACACAGAGAATCTTGGGCCATGGGGTGACCCATCAGAACCTATGTTTTAATGTGTCTGTCACATATCCTGTGTAGACAGTCTTGCTGCAGATGGACTTCTGTGTCCTATGAGAGTTAACTAGCCTTTGCATAGACACAGTGAGTTGTGAGGAACAGTACTTAGGACCGGAATCCTAGACAGAAAAATTCTCCGGCAGGGATTGTCTTTATTTGCAGCTCATACAGAGCTGAGCACATTTTTTGGCTCCTTGCATGAGCAATAATTCTTAATAACAGCACTGTCTGCAGGCCAGAAATGCTCTGATTCATCTCAGCTTGTAATTCTGGAGTCTGTATTAATGTTTCTTCATCTGCTTTTTTTCTGAATGGATCCTGCATACTTTCATACCAATCAGGGCATGATTTTATTCTTTTTTTAATTGTGGCTTCCAGCCTCTCCTACCCTTTATAAATGCTTTTTAAATTTTTCTGCTTGATGCTGCAAAACTCCAATAAACTAAAATACCCACTAGCCTTGGAATGTATCCTGGTAGTACTTCTCAGCATAAATCCTTGAAGAGCAGTCCTGAAGACTGTTGACAATTGCAAGAGCTTCATGATTCACTTTTACCATTCTCATGAACTTCCCCATAGAATCATTAAGAATCTTGTCTGGGTAGAATATTATTATACCTTTGTAATCACAGACAGGTAATTTAAATGAAGGGTACAGTTCTTTCCTTTGCATCAAAAACATGTCTATTGCCTATTACCTCTGAAAGAAGTTTCCCCTCCCCTTCAGCCTTTGCTCAGAGTCCACATTTCTGATCTGTAGCAGATGGAATGATTAAACTTACACACAAGGACCAGATCCTGCAGTCCTAGTTCCTTTCTTATTCTGGTAAATTTCCCACTGATTTCAGTGCCAGAGCAATAAACGTAGAAGGACAGCTGGATCTGTAGCAAAGATATTATTGTCAGCTTCCTCTATATTTCTCAGAATATTTTTCACAAACTGATTACTGAGATGTAGGGAAGTATATTTTCCCTATCCAATGTCTTGTTTGCATTCACTATGTCTAATGAGATTCCACTGTGCCAAAGTAGTGCATTTTAAATTTAACATTCAAATTGTAATTCATAATTGCTACATTGCAAAGGGGGCAACAGCATCTAAAAGACTTGACACTGATCTGGTACAGATGAATCCTCTTTCCTGGGGACTATATGTGGGAAATCCTTAAACTATTTTGTCCTTCCATTTCAAGGTATTTTTTGAATATCTGAGTAAAAAGAACTTTGCAGGTAATAGGCAGCATTGTGAATAACATAAAGAATATATAGATCACATTTGGCACCCTTTGGAACGTAGTTTACATCAAAGAATAATCATAGTGAATCATGCCACATGAACTTGCCTGCTTTGTTTCCAGGATCTACTAAACAATTTAAGTGAGTCATTATTTTAACATTGTATACCTTTCCTGTTTATAAGCAGTAGAGAGAACAATGTGGAAATTATTTCAAAAGGCATTTTCATTTTTGCAAATCATACTCCCAGACTTTGTCTTCTGCAACATACACTTTTCTTACACTGCAGATAGTTTGGGGAATTGAGTTTACTTTTACATTTCATTCTGAACTCTTGGGGACAAAACTCTTGTTAAATTTCAGCATTTAAATAAGGAATGACAGCATATCCATAAACAAATATGCATTTGCTGTGTATAAATCACAACAATTCCAGTAAACTCAGTAAAAGGGTGATCCCATGGTTAGTTATTGGGCAGAGTTACCTTCTCTGTCCATGTGTTTCCTGCATGACTTTGGAAATCTAAGCTTCATCCTACTTCCCTTTTGCTTACTTAATTGAAGTATCTAATTTTTTAGGTTCTCTTTGTGATCAGTGGAGAAAAATAGGCAACTCCAATGTGCCTGCCCATTATCTGTATTCACCTTTGAGATGGGATGGGACTGAGCAGGACTCAGCTTTTCAGTTGAAATAGGTGGATAACAACTTTTGAAAACCTGGCCCTTATTTTCTCTGTGTCTCTTCTTCATTTTTAAATCAGATATAATTTTAAAACTCTCTCAAGATATCCCAAGAAATCATTAACAGTGTATCAGTGAACTGAAATCAATGAAGTGTGGGAAGATCAGTTAACAGTTTCTTTACACAGTCTTAAGACCAGTAAATAAACAGAGGATTTTAACACAGAATTTAGCACCCACACTTTAAGAGCATGAAAAGATCTAGCAAAATAAAACCTACTGTGACTGGTCTGGGCATAACTGTTGTAGATTGGATGTAAATCAAATAGTTTAAGTAAGTTTGACTGAGGTCCAAGCACTTCTCCAAGAGGCAAAGTAAAAGGATTAGGTCACTATGACAGTCTCCCTGCTTTTGCCTGTATGACCCAGGACCTATTCACAAGCACATAATTTTATTCTGCTCTAAAGCCAAAGTTTCCATCATCCTTTTTTTTGTAAAATCATTGAACTGATTTTGCAATCAGAAGAACATAGAGTTTTTCTACTCGCTCATGGTATTATTTGATGTTATGATTCACCATTTTTATATAGTGTCATGTGCACTTATGGTTTCCACCATAGTGTGTGCAGATGCACTCACTGGTCTGCAGTTTCCCAGATTACAGCCCCCTGAAACCCAGAGGAGTTTCATTCCCTATAGGGTGGAAATGCTTGTGAGAGACAGAAATAAGAGGAAATAAAAAGAAAGTTGGATTAATATGAGCCTATCTAGGAACAATCAGCAGGTAAATAATGAGGAGGTACAGGCAATTTAGCGTGGGTAAATAGGTTGTAATAAAAGAGTGAGATGAAACCAAGTAAAAAATAATCTTAGCTGAAAACCTTGGAACTCTTCCTAATAGTAAACTTTCTTACTCTAGCAAAAGTCTTCTGAAGGGGTCAGTGGAAACATTACCAACTGAATCAATTTAGAAAAGAATAGAAAAGGTGTGAGTACAGGAGAAATCTCCCACTAGAAAGTAATAAATGTGTTTACCGTCTGTTTCTTTTCCTCACTATGCAGCTGAGGGATGTCTGAGAAGTTGGAAAAAATATTAACTGGGAGAGAGAGATACAGGTTTGATTCCCAGGCTTGCTACAGATTTTCTGTGAGAACTTGACTAAATCACTAAAGTTCTCATTTAGAGCTGACTGGGAAATGAATTTCACTACTATGTAGAATGTCAAGGTTCAGGGAGGAAAAAAAAAAAAAAAGTTATCCTTAACCAGGATGAACTTTGGCATAATGCACTGCAATGAAATTCTGTGGGAATAAGGAAGGCAGTGACCTCCCATTCCCTTGCTACTGCTCAGCTCCCTGGCTGTTCACTTGGCAACCAGCTGGAGTCTGGAGCACTGAGGCATCCTTCCAACAGGTGCAGTTTGTGCTCACAATGTTTCCTCTATTGCAATCCAGTTAAAGCACAAATAAAAACATGTACCCACAGGGTTATCTGCTCAGCCTGGTCGCTGCTTGCTCTGCAACAGCTCCTCTGACTTTCTTATGTATTTGGCAGAACAAGCTTTCTTACGTATTATGTGCAGAACAAGCTCTTCCCTATTACTGACTCTGGGAGGGCCACTTCACTGAAGACTGATTGGGGCTTTGTTGGCTGCTCAGAGAGGGGAGTGATCAGCAGCGTTTACATTTGCTCCCTTCTGACTTTGTGCCACTGGGAACTCTGTATCCACAGCAGCTGCCAGGTGTTGTAACTCTCACTGAGCTCCTTTGTGAAACAATGCAGAGTTGTCATACGATGACCCACACCATGATCTGTTTCTTTGGTAATGAAGATCCAACACATTTCCCCATTACTTGCACTGTTGCAGTTGCTGGGTTTTCTCTGCCTTATAGGCAATCTGTGAAATGAATGGTTCTCCCAAGCCTGCAGTCACTTGCTCAACAAACAGCCACTAAACATTTTGCTGCCTCAGGCAACCAGCGTTTGACTGATACGTGGGAACTGGCTCTGGCTTCTTGTGCCTCTGTTTGCTGTTCCAAGCTCTTCAGGTTCCTTGTTCACTGCTGTTTGCTGTCTGAGATGTCTCAGTAATGAGTCCAGATAAAGCAGGTGTGAGAAAGAGGAACAAAGAAATGGATAGTACTTAGAATTAGGTTAACCCTCCAACCTCCTGCAACACAATGGCATTTTTTAAACATACCATTTGCTTTAACTGGCCTGTACTCAATTGGAGGCAACCCACAATGAAAACATCGCTATTGGTGACTGTGCCTCTGTAACAGGGCACAGGTATTTTTTACCCAGGGTATTTTATACCCTGGAAATGGCACAGATCTGTTCATTTGCCAGTCCTATGACTTATTTGGCTTAATGTAGATATATTACTAGACTGCAAAATTTCTCTGAGAAGATCACCTACAACTGGAAACTAATAACATGTGAAGAATTAACTACATAATGTAATCCCCTACTTATTATCTGTAAGATTTTAACAATTGTTATGCCCAGAATTCTCATGTGCAAAGAGGTGATATCACGTTATTGGATATGTTCCCATGACATGACACAGTCTTGGTCTCTGTATAAGTAGGCAGGACAAAGAATGAAAGAAGTGTTTGCTGGTGCAAAGATGAGTGACAACACAGTAAGTGACAGCATATTTGACATGGGAAACAGATAAATCTTATCTCAGTGCTTTTAAACCAAGTACTACTTCTGTTCCAGTCTCATTTTAGTATTTTCATTCAGCTGTGTTCAAGCAGGTTTTACACATGTATATAGCTGCCAGGAACGAAGGTGACCTGCGAAAAGAATTCTTAATATCTTACTGTAGTGAGTTATATGTGTAAATTAACCCTGAAATTAAATCTGTAAATGACTACCTAAAGTTCTCACCCTCCAGTTTGTTTGACACCTGGCAAAGAACCTTCATGTCTACTAATTTTTGGACTGCAGATAATGCTCATAAAATAAACAAATATTAGGATATGACTGAACACGTATGTTAAAAATTTTCATCTGCTGCCCTGACACCTTGTGTATGGGTCTGTTTTTTTATAGAGGAATCACAGCACCACTAGTCAGTTGTGACAAGGGGCTCCAAGCCAGCCTTCTTTCAGCAGTGGCAGAAGATGATTGATTCCCTGTGTATAAAATGTGTCTTCAACCACTGCTACAGTCAAGATTTCAGTATACCAAAGCACTCCTGTCTTCAACATCTGCAGAAACAGACTGCAGCAGCAAACATCAAGGAACAGCAGTATGCCTTGAATGTGTCCCCTGCAACTCCAGGGCTATTACTGTGATTAACTAAAGCAGAACTTGGTGCATTGCCATAACGTAATAGAGGTCATTTCCATGTAATAAGAAGGATTGTTTTTGCTCTGAGTCTGTATATCTCACCAGGATACAGGGTAAATGGGGTGTGCAGTGTCAAACAGAATCCTCTTTTCAGACCACTGAATAGCAGCAGTGTCAACGCACTATGCCAAACATACCACCTCCAGGATTTCTGTAGGGAAAGTACTATCCAATGAAATTTTCTTGGCAAAGCCATATATTTTGAGTCTAATAACCCATCTCCCTGTTCAACAACTCCTAGTGTGCTGGGTGTTTCAATTAACTTTTACTGCAAGCAAACTGAAGCAAAATATAACCTAAATTCTCAATTTTCTTCTTAACTGCAAGCACAGATAATTTGTAATTCACTGTTAAACACACATGTAAGCCTCTGCAGAATGGAAACCAAAGTAAAGACTTCACTCTAGATACTGCATTCAAAACTCCTTAAGCATGAAGTAAAACATTCAAGCTTATGTTCTCTTTTCTTTGGATATATGCAAATTAGCTTGAATAATTTCCAAATCTCAGTTCTCACCAATAGGTGGCACCAATATTTTCTACTTTCTTCATGACACATTTCCAGTAGCTAGATTTAAAGTCTACCCCAGTGCTAAATTATCTACTAAATCATAACGAGTTCTGTTCTGTTCTTTTTCCTGCAGATTGTGGCTGATCACTATGCAGTGGTACATATCTTGTTCTCCAAGCATTTTCATAAACTCTTAGTGGGTTGTTTTGCTAGATACATTCCTGATAATTCAGGCAACTGTTTTCTTTCATGTTGTGGAAGTCATTTTAACAATGTTTTATTGGAGTCTGGGTTCATGGCCTTTTTTTTTTTTCCTACTTTTTGGTGTGGGTTTTTTTTGTTTGTTCGTTTGGTTTTTGTTCATTTGTTTTTTATGTTTGATGGCTTTTTTCAGCCTTTCACACAAAAATGTTACTGTATATCTCAACTTTTTCAAAAACTGATCTTGTCTTCCCCCCTTTGCAGGTAATAAAAAATTGAAAAGTAGACTTGTAAAAAAACCCAAGCAGTATTTTTTTTTTGGTTTTATGATTGTGTGATTTCAACCTTTACTGTCAAGATTCTACTGAAAGTAATTTAATAGCTATTCCCTGAAAAGTTTCAATTGTGAATTTTAGAGTTATTTTGGAGAATATGGTACTAAAACTCTGTTGTAGGAGGATTCATTGGAATCAAAAGCAAAGACAACTCTAGCAAATACAATTACTTGACTGAGAGAGTATTCAAGGCCTCATTTAAGAGGGAAGATCCTTACTCCTAATATGTAGATCCACTAGAAGTAACCAGTAACTCTGCATGAGAGTCCAGTGGTTTTCTTTGCAAGTCATAATTTCCCTATTCCAGATTAATCATCAACAGACAAAAGACTTTAGCTTTCCAATTGAGATTCACAGACAAGACTGTTTGCTTATTCTTTCTTTTTGTAGTCATCATTACAAGAATGTGTTTTCAGGATTGTAATAGTCATTCTGTGAATCATAATCCCAAACTTTATAACTGTTTTATTTTTAAGGATGTGAGGTTTGATTCACAATCTGTTTCTTATTCACCTGAATTCATGGCACTTCTGGTCAGGAAAAAAGAGCGCTGTTTCACCTAAATTTACAGTCTAAAGCCTGCCTACCTACCAACCTATAATGCATAATTAATTTTAAACTGTTTATTAAGTTAACTGTTCTGGGGAACATTGTGAAAACAGAACCTATCCTATGGATGACTGCCAAGATTAATGAAAGTTCAGGCACTCAATCCAATTACATAGAAGTTAGTTTCCTTCTAACATAATTTATACTACTGACTTGTCATCTTTATGTCTTGCTTATTCATGAATCAAACCAAACCTCTTAATTGATTCCGTATTACCTTGTTGCAATCTGAATGCTCATATCCCCAAGCCTCATATTCTCAGACTTGTCAGGTGCTTAATTTCTCCAATTGAATGCCATATCTGCATATATAATATGAGCACATGAGCTGAAGAAACACCAAAGACACAAAAAATGTTAAACAGTAGTATTCTTCACATCTCTAATAACCTTGTGGTCAAGTTCTGTTCATGCCATATTAGTCAACAGGTGTGTCAAAAATCCATTGGCAATATCTGAAAATGCCCTTTGACTTGAATTTAAGTTCTGGAGTTACTCCAAAGACTTCAGTGGTGTGAATATGCCTTAAAATGGGAGACTTTATCTCATTCAAAATTTTCAGAAAAGTTGATGCATTTAAAATAGTCATTGTCCTACTCGTTAAATGATTTAATATTTTTCTGGCCTTTATACAGCCTTAATAAACATCTCTATTTTTCATTCTGAACATTCAGGAGTTTTCTATTTCTCTACAACGAGATGATTCCAAAACACACACCTATAGCTGCCACTTGTTTAATTTGGGATTTTAGGTATCCACCCTGTATTGCAAAAGTAGATTGTGTGACACAATACTGTTTTCAGCAGCAGACTTTGTAAAACAAGTATTGAGTAATCAGAATGTATCTTTATCCTTGTGTGTGCTCAGCAACCCTACAGGTCTGTATGACAAAAAGAATTTGCCTTTGGACAGCAATTTAACAAGACGCCAAACAGGAGGTAAAATAAAAACTTTACTTGCATTTCACAATGAACAGAGAATGAATATAGAACCTCACAGTCATATTGTTTTATATTAGGGCAGTATTTGAAATCTTTCACTTTTTAACCTGGGCAGATGCTCTTGGGAGGTCTGGAAGCAGGAATAAAAACTTTCTCTTTTTACATCCTATGGAGCAGCTGTCAGAAGAACAGCTGTTCAGAAACAGATATTTCTGACCTTA